ACAGCACGTGCAACAATCGAATTATTGCAAGAAATATTTGCAGATTCGATTACCTCATGAAATTGTGACATTGAATGGCCTTCACGAAGTTTGTGATTTAACACCATTAGACTACTTCATGTGGGGTTACTTGAAGTCATTGGTCTTTARCAATAAACCAGACTCTCTTCAAGCTTCAGARGRTATTGAACGTGCTATTGATGATAAGAGTATATGACTTGATGCTCGAAAATTGCGTTCATCGAATTCGTTTCGGCAAAAGAAGTAATGCCTGATGGAGGTTTATTAATATGAGCAAACTTCAGCAAGTCTTGCAGGCTGTCAACACTTTCTGTCATTTTTAATAGATACACATGATCTTGGCTATGCTGTGTTYATCGTGTATCGTTTTTAGCGATTTACGTATTTCTKGAATTGGTTCGGTAGTCCAGCGGATGGTACCTTTTCAATCTTATCAGTTAGGCTCTTAGGCTTAAGAAACCATGACTATAAGCATGTGCAATTTCATACAACTCTTTCTGAAATTTCGCCTTTCTACACTTTATTCAGTTTTCAGCATTCCTAAGAGCAAAAGCTTAATATGCAGTTAGCGCTCTAATAGTTTAATTTGACAAAGTCTTGAGAATGCACTAACAACTCCCACATAGAACTTTTGCAAACGCAGAGCTTTTCATTAATCTTCTTATCGTAACATAAACAAAAACAGCATGTTGCGCAACATTGTTGCAAGCAACATTTACACTTCGTGCACACACAAGSTGGCCACAGCRCGACCATTGTTGCGGCACGAACGATTGATTACGAAAAGCGTACAGCGAGAGCGATCAAGCGCGGCGTCGGCGATGTACTAATCCCAACGAACGCACACACTCACACATACGCACACAGGCAGCCAGTTGGCTACACGCCGCTGGCGCGCAAAATACGATTACAGGTTTGAAAAATTCGATTTTTTGGCATTTCGAAAATTGACTGCGATCGAGACGGTTGGCCACTGGTCTAGTGCTTGTGCTTCGTGTTTCTTGTTGTGCAACTGGTTTGCTAATAAAATTGTGTGAATTTTAAATATTTGGCTTTTGCGTTGTTCAATTTCGGTGCGAGTTCTGCTCAAACGTTTTCTACGACTTTCTTCAGTGCTGTACGTATTCTTTGTGTTTGGTGTTGTTGTTTTATTGCGTTATTTGCATACGCAACGAGTTTAAATTATAACGGTTACTGCAAATAACTGCAACAACAAATTGGTGAAAGCAGTTGCATCATTAAAATATTGATTACATTTTTCTTTTTGATTTTCGCGTTTAGATAAGTGAATAGAAATTAATCAAAATGGGCTGCACATCCGGCGTWATGAAATGCCTGCTGAATATAATGAACGTGCTGATGGCGGTAAGTTCAATATGCAATCATTGAAAATAATATGCAGCAACAACAACAAGAACAAAATGGGTTTTTTGTTGTTGAATTTTTTTTTGGAAACTAGACAGGCTATTTGCTTTTACTAGAAAAAATAAATTGTTGATTGACATGAAAAGTACATTGCATGTTGTTTTTGTTGTTGTAGATATACATTTTGTTGTTAACCAAACAATTGCTTGCACAAATAAATGGCGATGAATAATGCTTGCATGCACACACACATGTATGGCCACAAAAGTGTCAGTGGGGCGTTTTCACTGTCACTTGGCAAGCAAGAAAAATTAAATAAAATTCAAATAAAATAAAATAAAACAAAAATAAAATAAAAGATTTCTGAGTAAAAATGCATAAATTTAATTGTGAGCATACAAAAAAAAGGTAAAGAAAATATATTTAAAAAATAGCAAAAAAATAGTTAAAACACAGAAACAACAAAAGAAAAGAAAAAAAATGCAAGAAACAAGCAAAAACGTTGAAGTTGACTGCAACAAAGCTATAATACCCTTCATAGATAGTTTTCTTATAGTTTAAAAGGCTTTTATCCTGATATTGATCGGTCAGTTTGTATGGCAGCTATATGCTACATTGGCTCGATCTGAATAATATATTCGGYTATTGTAGTCTAAGCCTAGTTTTGTAACGATATCTTGTCATATAAAAAAGTTTTTCATATAAAGACTTGACTTTTTCGAAGGGCTTATATGACAGCTATAAGTAATTGTGGTCCAATCCGAACAATTTCTTCAGAGGATATTTCGTTGTTATTAAAAATAATCTAAGCTGAATTTCATAGCAATATCTAATCAAATTAAAAAGTTTTCCATACAAGGACTTTTTTATGATTGTTCAGTTTGTATGGCAGCTATAAGTAATTATGGTTCAATCTGAAAAATTTCTTTAATTAATGTTTCAATGTCATTAACAATAATCCATGTMGAATTTCCATTACAAATTTCGTTTCGATATCTCATCAAATTACAAATTTTCCCACACAAGGACTCCAATATGACCGATCACTTTTACACATGCAATGCTATGCAATAGTCGTCGAATCCGACAAATAAGCAGTTTGTTGAATAGGGCGTATACAAAATTTCAGATCTATATCTCAAAACAGATAGACTTGTGCGCATATATACACACCGTCAGACATGATTCAATCAACTCAGCTCGTCACGCCGTCCTCCCACGTTTCTTTCTGGCTATTACAAATTTCGTTGCAAACTCAATATACCCAGTGCAAGGTATAATAAAAATACAACAACAAAAAATTAAAAAAAACATGGAGAAACGAAAAGTATACAAAAGGGAAGGAAAAAAAAAACAACAAAAGTCACAGAAAATCTTTAAAAGAAAAATAAAACTTTTTTCTTGCAATAAAAAAGACTTTAAGCATCTAATAAAACAAATCGTTGTCATCTGCCGCTGAGAATGCAGTCACCTTTTTTTACGTTTTGTGTAAAGTAATTTTTCCAAAATGATATCATCGATCGGCCGCTAAAATGTTAATTTCTCGATTCAAAAGCAGCTGCGTCAACAAGCGCTTTTTTCTTGCCTTCTGCGTTTTTGTTGYTTTCTCGTTTCAGTGAACTCACATGCCGCATGTTTAATAAAATACGGTTTGCACGTAAATTTTCGTGTGTGCGTGTGTGCGCACCATTAATACAAATATGGCGGGTATTTATGTGCGCGCACATAAACACCTAAGCACTATTGGTGAATAAGTCGCGTCAATGGCTTGTATCGCCTACCGTTTGAGCTTGCGCTTAGCACCAGCTTAACCTCGCAGTTGGCTTTGGCTAAGCGTGTGATATTGTTTGTTGTTGTGGCGATATTTTGGTGCGACAATTCTCGATGCGCACATAGCCATTCGAACATGCATACATACATACATACAAACATACAAGCAAACATTGATAAATGGCGAATGTGTGCGTAWGGCAAATATGTAAACATGCCAACATGTTTACATATATGTACGTATATATGTGTGTTTGTGTGCGCACAGGTATTTGCTTGTTTAAAACTCGAAATTTATGTGTGCCACCAAGCCGCCTCGCCCGCCGGTACCATAAACAGCGCTGAATGAAACGCGTAGCATTGCCAAGTCACGTAAAATGTATAGTGTGGCACTACACTCATGCATATGTACATACAAATAAATATATGTGTATGCGTTTGTATGTGTGCAATTGTTGTTTCTTATTTTGTTGTCGGGAATCCACATTGCATTCAAGTTGTTTATGGTTTTTGTTGCTAAATTCTATACTTTGCAGGGTGGTTTGAAAGCTGAGAGCAATTATAATATTTTATTGTAATTTTTTTTTTAATTTTCTAAATCCAATATTTGTGATTGTTTTAGTTGTTTTTGTTAGTTTAGTTATGAATATTTTTATTAATTMTTATAAAAAAATCTTGTTTCAATATTATTATAGCTGCTTTATGTATAATCATAAATTCTAATAACTGCAACGAAACTATGTTGCGCAACAAAATCACGTCACGCTCGCTGAATTCATATACCATAAAGAAAGTGAAAACTTAAGCGTTCAAACTCTTTTGTTTTGTTGCATTTAATAGTTAGCTGCTTTGAAACAAAAAAATTTACAGTGTTGCCACCTATTTTGAAGTTTAAATTTTGAAATGTATATACATGAGTTAAGTAAACACTATGAAGAACTTATAAAAAGCTTTGTGAGGAAATTTTTGTGTGTTAGTGTTGCCACCTGTTAAAAATTTCCATATACAAAAAGGTGTACTTTTAAAGAACCACTCAAT